TTCTAGCTGTAGTAGCTGAAGGTACTATAGGGAAGGAAGAAGTTCTCCTATAGTGAACGGAATATTTTTTAAACATCTTTGTTTTTTCTGATTTAAATGTCTGTCTGGTTCTAATAGGATCCCTATCATCACACCAAAGTGTGTGCTTTGTTTTTTGATAGAGCCATGGTATGATGTCAGAGAAGCTGCTAAATGCTAATCCTGTATCTCCCTAAACCCTTCCCTCATGGTTTCCCCGTCAGGTGGGTCCGGCCGGCTCCCAGTTCGGACTCCTCGCTTGCCTCTTCGTTGAGCTTTTCCAAGGTTGGCAGATGCTGGAAAAGCCATGGAAGGCTTTCCTCAAACTCCTGGGCATCGTGTTCTTCCTCTTCCTGTGCGGCCTTCTCCCTTGGATCGACAACATCGCCCACATCTTCGGCTTCATCGGCGGCCTGCTGCTTTCCTTCGCCTTCCTGCCCTACGTCACCTTCGGGACCTTTGACAAATACCGCAAGCGGATCCTCATCGTGGTCTCGTTGCTCGCCTACGTGGGGCTCTTCTCCTCTCTCATCGTTTGGTTTTATATTTACCCCATTAACCTCCACTGGCTGGAGCATCTCACCTGCCTGCCCTTCACAAGCAAGTTTTGTGAAAAGTATGACATAGACCACAACATCAACGACGTGGTGCACTAACCTCCCGGTGGTGAGAGAGTTGGCTTCCAGGTCTAAGCATCTGACAATCAGTTTTATCTTGTAAATAAAACTGGAAGCTTCTCCTGTCTGCCCAGTTAAACTCGTTCAGACGTTCCAGTCCTCAGGGAGGAGGCACGATCAGGGTTTTTTATTTGTTCAGCACCAACCAAACCTCCTGGAATCAGTAGAGAAGATGGCCGCACCTCTGGCCGGCAGTCGTCGTCCCTTTGAGTCTCCAGGCAATAAAATCACTTCGGTGAGGATTTGACTGTTAAAAGATGTTAAACAAACAAGCACCTTCCTATAAGTTCGTCTTTTTTCACAGTATTTGGTGTCAACACTACAAAAGCAGGGAGCTGTTCTTCTTAGTCCTTTAAATACAGTTTGTTTTATTTCTCTATTGGATGATTGATGCTCTGCTGGTGTCCAAAGGTAAAGCTACGTTCAGACCGCAAGCAGCAGAAGCAGCAAAAACACACATGCTGCTTCATTTTTGATCCCTGTACAAGTTTAGTTCTGACGCACGGCTGAAGCTGCTCTAGCTGCACGGTGGAAAAAGTGGGTCTGATGCACGTTGGGCGGAGCTACCCAATCCTTTCTTCACCTGGAACAATGGCAGCTATATTTGCGGTCATCAGTCGGTAGAAAGTAGTGTTGTGCCAATCCCATTTTTGGCCCCAATACAGATACCCGATATCATCTGTTTGGAACTGATGTGTGTGAACTGCATACTACTAGGATGTAAAATAGTTGCCATCATGGCTGAAGCAGGAAAAAGACTAAAACAAAATGAATCCAGTAGAACTTTTTATTGCCTACCTGGAATGGGTGACAATAGTTGAAGAAACTATTGGCTCTAAAAATGGTATCGATGCCCTATTGGTTGGTACTCACCGATACCATTTTAGTGCTGGATCAGGGCCCCGTCCGATACTGGTATCTGTATTGGTGCAACACTATTAAAAAAAGTAGTTTTAATATATTTCTTAAGTGAGAAAGTCCTCCTGAAAACATCGTCAGTTGAGAGATTACCATCCTGCCTTCCAATTTTATTTCGCTTTCGGAGCCGCTCAGACCCCCGTACACCGGCGGTGCGCCGTTACTGGGAATCCCGTTCAACAGCAGCCTCTGGCCTGGTCGCTGCTTTGCGGTTTTCTGCTACACCTCACAGCGGCTAGATGTAGATGTTAACATTTTTTATGTACGCAATCCAAACTGCAGATACCAGGATAATTAAATCTAACATGTTTTTCCTGCAGATTTGGACATTTTAAGTTAATTTAGGCGTTAATAAACAGTTTCAGAGGAGTGATCATAGCGCTCTGCATCAGCAGTGCTGTGTCTGACTCCCTGCCAGCTCCCAGATCAGCTTCTCTGATCAGCGCTCATAAGGCGCTCCTTTAGCTGCTCAGACGCGCTGCGGGACATTTTGCTGCGCCTCGATGCACGTCAACTATTGACTTCACATGTAAACCAGCTGCTTCTGCTGCTTCAGCTGTTAACGTAGCATTAGAACTTGTTCCATTTTTAGATGTTTTCTTTTATCAGCTAAAGCTAAGAAATCTAAATCCGCAGCCAAGCTGTACATAATATAAACTTTTTATTTTTTACAGTGTTTGATCTGTAAACCTGCTTTTTCACCTTTTCAACCATCTTAGATCAGGTAGGGAGCTCGCTAAAGTATTCACACCCCTCGCTGTATTGCACACACATTCAGAGATCAAATAAAAGGGAATGTATAGTTTTGATAAATAAAAAGCCATTTATCTTCAGAGTTCCTTTAATTTATAAATAATCAGTTATTTTATTGTCAATATAAACTCTGATGAGAACCAGCAGAGAGGGGAAGTTTCGGCTAAAATACGTCCCCAATGGGAAGCAAGGCGGTGGTAGCATCATGCTAAGGGAATGCGTTAGTTATAAAGGAAATGAGAAGAAGGTTAGGATTTGATGCTGAGGTCAGTTTGGTTTTTTGTTTGAAACCAAAAATTTAAAACAAAACTAAAAAACAGTTGTTTCGACTCAGTAGCAAGAAATTTTTAGTAATTATCTTGTCTTTGCTTTTACAATAAATAAGTCAGTTCAGAATTGTGTATAAAGCCAAAAACCACCTGTTACCACCCACAGCCTTTGTTGGAAATTTTGGTATTTTTTGGAACAGAAGGCTGCAAAATTATTATTTTCTTTTTTTTTTTTTTTCTTTGCAGTAAACGGAAATGGGCTCACTGTTTTATCATATCGGGACCCGGGAGTTCTCTCTGCCCCGCATACATCGTGTCTTGTACACGAATCCAAAACAACATAAATTTATTTAATTTTTACTAAAACTTTACATTTAGTTTTGTAATGATTAAAAACACGGTAAATTCCAAGAAGTTTGCTTCTAATCCTGCCGACGGCCACTTTACCGAAACAGGAGATAAGCTGTTTCAACCTGATCTCCATGGCAACGGTTGACATCACTCAATTCTAAGTGGATTGAGTAATGTCAACCAGAACATCACTCGATCCATTTCGGAACAAAACTTATTTGTTTTTCCATTTTCATTTAGTGTAAAAAAAATAAAAATAGGGCTCAGGATCCGCATTGC